GCCCATCTGCTGGAACATGAAAATAGCACTGTTATTTGGGGCCCTATTCTTTCCCTCCATCACCCCATTAAATTTATCACTCACCAAAGACGCAGGGTGCTCAGTTACAGGTTTGTTAGAGAGAGGGTGGTCAGCCCCGAAAGGGGGTTGGATGATCTTTCGGGTCCCCCACAATCCTGATTATTCTAATTTTACTAGTGGCCTAAACTGTGGCGCTCTGGTGCGGTATAATCTGGACTCCAACAAAAGCCTCCAACAAAAGACAATACTTGGGAATCAAAATTGTCACTGACTGGCTACCTGACTTGAAATGTTGATCACTAATATACTCAGTACCGCGTATCTCCAGCTTTATAAAACCTTAAATACACACCACACCTATTTTTTAAATGGTGCGAAAGGACTTGATGAATATTCGGAGATTTAGAAGATTTAGCTTAGAGTCTTGGACGCTGTCACTGGAGTTTCTAACCAAAATCAGAGGTTTTGTCTGTCTCTGTGAAGAAAAGGTCTGTGTGCCTCAGGAAGCTGTATCTTATTTTCCCTGGGGAAGGTTCCCCTAGGGGGTAGGAGGGGAGAAAAGCCTTCAGAATGACCAGTTAGCAGTGACAGTTTGCTTCTGCCAAGGTTCAAATGGTAACCTGCAAGCCAGAAGGACCACAAACATACTTGCTCATGACCATAAACAGGCTCTCTCGTATACCTGCCACCCATCAACAGAGGTACGGGCTGAGAACTGCTAAATGAATTGTGTGGGAATTGTTTGTTCCCCATGGAGGGCTGTTTTACAGTAAGAAATGCGGCTTGCTGCTACCTTTTTGGCCTTTGATTGAGTCTAGAACATGACAGTGAAAAACATTCTGAGTTGCAACATAGATTTAAAAGAAAAAACTGGTATCTTTCTGCTAAAAGACTAAAAAGGATAAGCAAGAACTAAAAACGGAAACCGTTCTATATACCTTGGCACACAGCGGAGCTCTTAAAATACGCAGGGAGCTGAGAATTCGCAGAAACCCCTGAGAGGGTATGTACCACTTCTGGGATCCTTAATTATTCGTTAGAGAAGTGTAGCAAGCCCTGAAGCTTTTGCAAATAGGAATCTTGCTCCAAACTTCACCCTCCTTAACTTCTGAAAACACATTGTGTCGCGAATCACTCTGACTTCTGACCCGTGTCCTACAAGTGCCACCGGGTGATGTCACGGCGTGCTGCAGTGTCCCTGGGTGGTAGGAGGGAGCAGCCATGGTGTGCAAGTGTGCACACACGTGTGTGAGCACCGAGACATGCAGTTGTCCAGCAACTGTCATGTGACAGCACTTTGCCGCTCTGAGCTGTAGGGCGGGTTTGTTTTACTCTTGCGTCCATTCCGGTTACTTAACTGACGGCAGACACCCTCGTTAAGGCCCATTAGCACATCAGGAGCTGTTTGCTGAGCGTGACACTGACTAACCCCTTTTGGACACTGAGCAAAATGCATATTCTCGGGCAGCCCGCCCCTTGTATGGGTGACTGTTGGGGGCAGTTGCACAATGCTTGGATCTGTACTCAAGCGTCTTTAGCATGAGTTTATGTGTAAGCCAGACATTCTGTAAGTTGAGCATATGAAATTGTAAAGCAACACTTGGCTCTGTGGTGTAATACAGTTTGCTACCCTGACATAGAGGTTTCTTGATTTCTCTTGGCTGCTACAGAGCCCCACAGCTCATTCTTTGATGGCTGGAATGTGAACCATTATTTGCTCCTCAGAGAGAAACTGACAGGGGCCTGGCTAGAAGCAGAGGTTAAGCTGCCCCGGTGCAGAACTACGGTGGGCTTGGAAAGTCGTTCCAGGGGCCGGCGTCAACCTTTCTCCTCCACCCACCCATGCCAGTGCTCAGGGTCCCGAGTCCTCTTGGTTCATTTGCTGCCTACAGGGCCACGGCCACGGTAGCAGACAGGCTGTGCACAGGAGAAACGCTCCGGACGCCTTGGTCTACGCTCATGGTGCCTGCTTCTGTGCCACACGCTCCAGCTCCCGTGTAAACGTGGCTGAAGTTTCCTTGCGTCCCTTTGGGCCCTCTGGGAGGGCAGTATGTGTATAAAGGTCCTTGTCAACCTGAACCACTAAATGATTAACAGTGAATTGGACCAGAGAACAAGGCCAGCCTAATGCACTGACCTTTATTTTGTAGGAAGGAGGCCAAGATGCAAGCAGGGAGGAGACTTTCATGGAAGGAAAATGTGTGGGGAAGGGGAAGCCTGGACCGACAGGGTCAGGGGCCATTTTTTTCTCTTTGGAGGTTCCCTGATGGAAGAAGTCACGCTGAACTGAGTTCTTCTGAGCGATCTTACACTTTCTGGATTCGTGGTGGGATTGTGACCTTGGGTGGCATGTAGATAGGAGTTCAGACCTAAGCCTGCAGATTCTTAAGTCCCATGGCCTCTGTAAGCTACTCCTCTGCAACTCAGTGGCCTCATCAGAAATCAAAGACCATATCTATCTCAGGTTGTTCTGAGGATTAAATTAGATACAATCTATGAACGCTGGTGCCTGGGAGGCGTATGATAAAGGTGGTTTCCCTTCCTTCTTTCTCTTCTGTTTTTAAAAGTTAAGATGTAGGAGTACTATAAATAAAACCCATAATAAACTGTGTTTTCAAGTGGAATTCGGGAGGAAGACTGGACAGCATGGGCAACGCTGAGCTGGAGGAACAAACCGGAAGTGGCAGGTTTACTCCCTTTGCAGATCCAGCAGGCTTTCAAGGGTGCAGGCTCACCAACAAAGTCAAGAGTAAAAAAGAAAGAAGCTAACAAAAACATCGTGGGAGTTTGTTGGCCGAATATCTCAGGCGCTGTCTGGAGCCTAGAAACCCAGGAATTTTGGAAATGCTACCCTGTGTTCATTTTCAGTGGTAGAAACCCCAAACTTCCTGCTTTGGAAAGTGGGGGTGGCCGCTGGGATTTTGGCCAAGAACAGAAATTGGCTGTTTCTCTGGCTCGGTACTGCCACCTCCTGTCCATAAGTGGCATCGCGCTTCACCGCCAGCTATCAGCTTTCGGTTTGTTCTGTGGCATTGGGGTTGAACCCAGAGCCTTGCCCAAGCCGTGAGCGCTCTACCACTGAGCGGCAACCCCCAGCTCTGGGGACTGAAATTTAAATTTTGTTTTGCTTAGATCTGGATTTTCCCCCCGTGGTGTTAAGAAATGTATTTTCTTCCTTTTTGATGTAATAGTGAAGCTTTCTGAGACAGCGTGATGGGGTGGGGTGGGGGAGCCCCCAACCTCCTAAATGGGCCCTGTGTACTGTGAATTCCAGCTTTTCCTGAGATACTCTTTGCTCTCTCTCAGATTCCATCCCTGGGGCCCTGGTGAAACGCTGGGGAAACCAGCCGGCCATTTACCCAGTATTTTTGCAACTTTCTTATTATCCTTTAGAGTTATTTTTGCCATTCTCGGTTTGTTATTACAGAGATGCTTGCTAGCAGAACTTGCTAGACTAGTTGGGAAAGAGGCCAGGAATCAGAAGATGTGAAGATTGGGGTGGGACCCAAACAAGCCCTGAGGTCCTTTTGGACCAGGGTAGAAAGTGAAGAAGGTTTACGGAGCTGTTTAAAGAACACTTCCTGGTGGCTTCTTTATGGAAGTGAGGCCAGGGGTGGGAGAGAGGGTGGAGGAATGTGGCTCAGCAGCCTCTTCTTGAGAGCCTTACACAAGGGCTGATAAAATTTATGGTCAGTGTTTAAATTTTTAAAACTATTACAGTAAAAGATGCATTGTGAATCCCCCTTGCTTTGAAAACTCTTACCCCATCATTCTGAAGCAGTCTGGAGTCCTCTTTGAGGAGTATCTTCATGAAGTGTGATCAGAAATATTGTAGGCAGGTTACCTTACCACTGAGTGCCATCCAATGGAGAGGCGGGCTGGAAAGACAAACAAACAAACAAACAAACAAACAAACAGAAGACATGATAGTGTGTCCTCATTCACCCAATCAGGCACTGTGCAATTTGTGGCTCCTCCCTGACCACGCAAGGTCAGTGTTTTGAGCTGATTCAGGACATGGAGGCAGCCAGGACAGTGCAATTAAAGACCCTCATGGAAGAGGACTTGCAGAGCGGCTTCCGACAATGGCAAGAACGGTGTGATAAGTGCACTGCAAGTAAGGGGGAGCATGTTGAGGGAGATGAACGGCAGTGCATCTATTACTGTAATAATTTAAAAAATTGAAACAAATACTGTATTTTTCAGACAGCTGAACACAATAGGTGGGTCCTTCTCCCACTGACATGCAGGGCTGGGAACAGGGCCAGGAATGGCGGGGTCCCCTGGAGGGATCTGCTCTGTCGGGCTCTGGCACCAGCCCCCTTTGTCACCACGAGCAGGCCACGTAAGGCTCTCGGGTAGGGTGAGCAGAGTAGCACTGGTTCGTTTCTAAGTCTGTGCCTTGGGCGCCACCTCAGCTCAGGAATCTGCGTGTCTGACGGATGTCTTCCTGCTGGGAGCCTCACCCACAGAAGCCCCTGGATATGCGTGCGAGCTGGGATTTAGCTCAGAGAGGTTTAGACAACAGTGTGTCCCGTGCAGCTTTCACGGACACACAGGTTTATTAAATTAGCAGCGAAAATACTAAGAAAATACTGCATGGCTGTGTTTTCAGAGAGTACCATTTAATGATACAGTAGACAGCCCGTAAGTTAAGCAAAGATTCAGTTTGCCGACCCTTGATCCTGTTTTTATAGAAACAAATGTGCAAGTACAAATGTGGAAGAAGGAGCGGAAAACGCTATTTAGGAAAAATGAGTGTGTTGGGAGCCGGGTTCCTTAGCGGCTGACTTTTTTGTGCTGGTCGGTATTTTCTTCACACCCTCCTAGGAATGGTACACATTTTGTAAGAACAAAAAAATGATAACTCACTTTGAAGTGTCCGGTTGACTTTGGCTGCCCTCCGTGGTGGCTCGGGGCGCAGAGGCTGCTCCCTTTGCGCGGTGGGTGAAGACTCACTGTTCCCTTTGCCTCCTCAGGAGACGCAGCATCATGGCCAGCGTGCTGTCCCGCCGCCTGGGCAAGCGGTCGCTCCTGGGAGCCCGGGTGCTGGGCCCTAGCACCTCGGAGGGGTCGTCAGGGGCCCCGCTGCCCTCGGAGCCTCAGGCAGAGCTGCAGGAGGGCGGCGCCCCACAGCCTGTGCTGGGCTGCAAGGACCTTGGGAGCCGGGAGCAGCCCAGGGAGGTCCTCCAGGCCCTGGGCTCTGCGGGGCTCCAGCAGGCAGCCTTTCAGCCTGGGCAGAAGGTGAGTGGATCCCAGGGATGCTGGAGAGCTCAGGGAATTTAGTGGGTAATGGTGGGTAACAGCCGGAGCCCAAGAGCCGGGTGCTGGCATTGGGTGAGGGCCTTTGAGCACCAGCAACCCATGGTGGGAGGCTGGAGGGGCAAGAGCAGGCGACAGGAGAGAGAGGAGGGCTCAGCTTGCTTTCAGAGCAACCGCACTTTCTTGCCTAAACTGCTCCGGAGAGGAGGAACCCAGGCCTGTGGCCTCTCACCTGCTGAAACCGTCACCCGGGGGCCGTGTGGATCGCAGCACCATGACTCAAAGCCCAGGGAGGCAGCGAACATGGTGCCCCGCAGACCCGGCTGCCGCCCGGAACTGGGGGTGAGCTGCTGCGTGCTGACCTGGGCGTGTCCCCTGCAGGTCTGCGTGTGGTATGGGGGCCAGGAGTGCACCGGCCTGGTGGAGCGGCACAGCTGGGCGGAGGACAAGGTGACGGTGTGGCTGCTGGACCAGAAGTTGCAGATCTGCTGCAAGGCCGAGGAGGCGTGGCTGGCGGAGCTGCGGGCTGTGGGGTCCCCAGAGCGCGGAGGCCCTGAGCCGGCCTACAGACCCGTCTCCAGGAACATCGACGTCCCCAAGAGGTGCTGGGCAGCGGCGCGGGCACGGGCTGCCTCAGGGTAGCGGGGACGAGGGTCTTGGGGGTCTTGTTGCCAGGACAGTGCACAGATAGGGTGCAGAGCAGGGGCGTGAGCCAGCGGGCCAGGCTGCGCTCTACTGGCCATTGTTTACGGACCCTCCAATTGCAGTGTAGTTAATACGGTTTTTGTGTATCACTTGTCAAGAAAACTGCTCTTCTTTTGGGTCTTAAAAAAAAAAAGTTTAGCTGGGTGTGGTGGTGCATGCCTGTAATCCCAGCACCCGGGAGGCTGAGGCAGGAGGATCGCTGTGAATTTGAGACCAGCCTGGGCTACAAAGTGAGTTCCAGGTCAGTCTCAACTACATAGTGAGACCCTGTCTCAAAAAACAAAAAAACAAAAACAACAACAAAAAACCATTTAAAAATATAAAGCCGTCGATAGTGCAAAAACCATACAGCAAAGGCTCAGTGCCGGCCCCAGCTTAGATACACAGAACTGTTGGTGGTGAATGAGGAGTGGATGGCCTGCTTTAGGGTTTTATTTCTTTTACTTTTTGAGATGGGGGCTCACTGTGTAGTCCTGGCTGGCCTCCAACTCAGCTCCTCTCACCTCAGCCTCCTGAGTAGCTGGGATTGCAGCACGCCAGGTTTGGAGTTTTATGATGCGACTTTGCCCCAAGAATTTATCTCCCGGCTTCTTTATTATGTGGTCAATGTCTGTTGACCTTTTCCAGGTTAGAAAGAAAATCTGCTGGCTGGGATTGTTATACACAGTATAGGCAGGCAGTGTGGCCTGTCCCACCTCTGTGTCTGTCTGTGAGTGCTGGTGCTGGGGCAGTCGACCCAGTGTTTTGTTTTTATTTTTCAGACAGGCTCTTGCTGTGTAGTTAAGGTTGGCCTAGAACTCACAGCAACCCTCCAGCCTCAGCCTCCCAAGGACTGGGATTACAAGCCTGTGCCCCACATGAGGCCAGATCTAGTATTTTGACTTTATTTGTGATTTTGCATTCAATGGGATGCCAGCAAAGAAATTGTTTTCTAGTATATGCAAATGAATATTCAAAGGTGGCATAAATAAGTATATTTAATATACTGGTCGTCTTGGTTTAGCTGCTGCCAACGCAGTTGTACATTTCAGTAGTCTGGATTGTAAAAAAACGGAGTTAACACTGTCTCTCGGAACAGACAAGACACGCTCTGAAAGACGGACACCTAGGCACGAGGAGATGGTGTCATGTGGCAATGTGAGGCCTCACCTTCCCGGACGTAGATTTACAGAAGGCCTTTTCCTTAAAAAGAAAAAAAAAAAAGCCATCTAGAAGTTTATTTCAGACTAACTTTTCATAATACTTTGGCATTAACTTACAGATGGATCTAATTTTGCTTCCAAATAATGTAAGTGCATATGGATTTAAAAAAATGCACACAAATTTTATAGAACACTGCTGTATAAAGCATCAAGATCTGCACTGGGAGATTTAGAGTGTGGTTTATTTGCTCAGAGGCTTATGTAGTAGGCTCTGTTGACATTTAGCGGCTAATAGAATGCCTTATGCATCTGCGGGGAGAGAAGGGAGAGAGTGATTAGTGTTATTATTTCCTCTTAAATTTCACCATAAGACAAGGAAAGGAGGTGATTTAAAAGTGGATGCACCTTGAGGCCATAACAGTAAGTGAAATAAGTCAGACACAGGAGCTTAGAAGTCACATGGTGTCTCTTATGGATGAGAAACCCAGAATATAAATAATGTAACGAGCAAAATAAAAGCTAGATGATAGGAAAGAAGGAGCTCCTTTGCAGCTGGGAAGAGGATTTAGGGATGGAGGGAGGGGGTGAGGGAGTGAAAAGAGTGCAGACGTGTTGGGGTTGAATGTAATCATATGCATGGGAACCATGTACTAATAAACGGAGAAAAAGGAAGGGGGGTAATTGTAGTGTTTTGAGATTCCAGTGGACATCTTTTCTTCCCACCTTTTACTGTTTTCAATCTTCTCTCCTCCCCCAAATAAAATGCTCCATTTCAAGCCGCAGAGTTAGAAGTGAAGTCAGGGGAGGAGGTGGGGTTCCAGCCTGATACAAGCGGGGGACCCACCTGCTCCCTCCGCAGCCGCCTGGTACCCTGAACACCGCGCGAGCGGGCATGTTCCATTTAGAGGAGGGAGCACTTCGGGCCCGCCGCCTCCCGTTACCTGAGCTCGTGCCACCTGACTGGGTGCGGACTCTGAGGGCACCGTGGACCAGCCAGCCCAGGACCTAAGCTTCCCCCTTTCCGTGTGGATGCAGGAAGTCAGATGCGGTGGAAATGGATGAGATGATGGCGGCTATGGTGCTGACGTCCTTGTCCTGCAGCCCAGTTGTACAGAGTCCTCCGGGGGCTGAAGCCAACTTCTCTGGTGAGCAAGGGTGTGTGTGTGTGTGTGTGTGTGTGTGTGTGTGGACCCTGACTCCCTCTACTCTGAGCAGCTGATGCCAGAGTCCGCTCGACCCTAGGATTTCTAGAGGCTCTTCCAGTGTCACTGAGTCACAGGCTTTCGCCCTTTTTCCTCAGTTTCCCCATCCGGGAGAAGTGTCCCGGTGCACTGTGGAGAGCGTGGGCTCTGCACTGAGCTGAACTGGCCCCTTGAGTGCTTTCTTCCGTGGAGTGGGCGAGTGCGGCCCTCTGGGAGCCTAAACAAGGTGCCAAAAGGAATACTTAGTTCACTAAGGTAGAAAATGCTAAGTGGTTCCCTAGTGGCTCAGAAAAGTCACAGCCCTGGTTCCAAGTGCCAGAGTCAGCCTTGTCCGCCCGTGGGGCCTACAGGCCTGAAACCCGCAGCTGCTTAGCAGAACCCTCAAATCTAACTGCTCAATAAACACTGAGGGCATACTTCAGATCTGTGTTAAAACAAAAATTCTGCTGGTGGTGCCCCAAACGCTTCGGCGGTCGTGGGGGAAGGAGGATTGCTGGGTGTGCGTCTTTTGACAAGACGGGGGATGAACCCCAAAGGTGTTTTTGGAAATTTCTTATAGAGTTGGATTGCCTTACTCCCAGGAAGAACTTTTTTTTTTTTGCCCTTGTGACCTGAATGGATGGCAAATTACTGAAAAACTTGTAGGAAAATATGGAGTTAGCTTTGAGTGCAAACCAGGAGGAGAGCGGCCTGTACAAGTGTCCCCGATGGGTAATCTCCCCAGATAGAAAGTGAATAGAGAAAGCAAATTTAAATCCTGCGCTCTGAGGACATCTAGTGGTGAAGCCTAGTATGGCATGCCTGCTGTATTGGTGTGCACCAATGGGTGTACACACACACACACACACACACACACACACACACAAACACACACACACACACACGCGACCCCCAAAAGAGAGTAATCGATTTTAAATTCTCAAAAGATCTGAAAGTTTAGGAGATTCAGGAGGTTGGGCCAACTGACCCAGGAGAGAAAATGAGTGAGTCCTGTCCGCATAAGGATTGTTTGTACACACACCCTTGCACACTGACCCATGAGCGTCTCAGGATACCATGCCACAGTCCTGGTGTTTTTGGTCCCCTCTTTTTGGGAGAGTACTATGCCTTGAACCCAAGGAACTCTCCCTCTGAGCTATGTCCCTAGTCCTTTTAAGTGTGTATTTTGAGACAGGTTCTAAGTTGCCTAGGCTGGGGGTTGAACCTGCAGTCTTCCTGCCTCAGCCTTCTGAGTAGCTGGGATTACAGACTTATGTGACTGTATCAAGCTAATCAGTCTCTTGTTGACAAGTTTTCATCATTAAAGTTTTCTTTTTCCTTACAATATATTTCTGATTTTATGGTTGAAGTCAGTGGAAACATAAAGCTTCCTTGGCAGCTAATTATTTTCTGTGTTCTGCAGAGTGAAGCCTACATAAACAACCTTGCTCTCATAGCTAGGTATGGTGGTGCATGCCTGTAACCCCAGAACTAGGGAGGCTGAGGCAGGAGGATTGCCCTGGGTTCGAGGCCAGCCTAGGCTACATAGGGAGACCCTGCCTCAAACAGACAGACAATCTTGCTCTAATCATGAATGCTGTCTGCATAAAAGCTACCTATTCCCCTTGGCCTGTATAGTAGGATGATTTACTGTATGTGTGCATGCACAGATATTATAGCTTTTATTTATTTATTTATTTATTTATTTTGGTTTTTCAAGACAGGGTCTCACTCTGTAGTTGAGACTGACCTGGAACTCACTATGTATCCCAGGCTGGTCTTGAACTCACAGTGATCCTCCTGCCTCAGCCTCCCGAGTGCTGGGATTACAGGAGTGCGCCACCACACCTGGCTGCACAGATAGTATAAACAGTTCTTAAAGGCTTGTTTATAAACTCTCACTGCTATACATTTGCAGAGTGCTTTGTTCTCAGGATCCAGGATATTTAGCAGTTGTCTCTGCCCTAGAAGCACTTCTGCTTGTAAATGTAGTCAGTCACCAGTGTTTTACTGACTTACAGATGAGCTCACAGTACTGACTTCCAGCTTGGTTTTCCGTCTTGCTTCCTTGACACGCTGGTTTCGTGTACCGGTCTTTGGAACTGGTTGCCCCGTGGCAGGGCTGCTGTTTGACCTGCCCTTCGTCCTAGGGCCCTGGTCACCCGGAAGTTGTATTTTCCCTTTCTGCAATCCCTCCCTCGTGGGCTTCTGTGGGCCTGTCGGGTGGCTCTTGAGTTCCGCCCTGAGTGTCTACCCTGCTTTTAGTCCCAGTGTAGACAACCTTCTAGGGTGGAGATGGAAGAGAGCTTGGATTGGGAGCCGGGAGGCCCGCTGGGAGTGTGGAGTGTCGGGAATGACAGGTGGTCGGATTTTCCGCTGGCCCCAGGGTGTGTGGCTGTCTCTGTCGAGTAGAATGGAAGGACTGGGGCTTTTAGGAGCATTGGGGGTTTTTCCCTTCAGGTACAGAAGTTGAGATTCTTTCTACCGTCACTTCCTCTGGATTTGTGGCCCAGGCACGAAGGAGTCTGGGGTGAGCTCGAAGCTCTGCAGATGGGCAGTTTAAAAACTGAAATTCAGGGCTCAGGGTAGAGCCCGGTGGCAGAGCACTTGTGTAACATGTGTGAGGCCTGGGGTTCAGTCCTCAAGCAAAAAAACTGACAATCCCACACTCTGCCTGGGCCCTTCCTGCTCAACACCCTGGCTTGGGGTGGCCGGCAGTGCTGACCTCTTGTGGCTACCTGGCTGCCACCAGCCCTGAGAAGTGCTCCCTCCAGGAGCTTTCAAGGTGGGCTGGAGGCACGAGAGGCTCCCCAAGTTTTCTTTTTGGTACTGGGGATTTAGCCCAGGGCCTTTGTGCTGAGCTGCTCCCCACCCAACCCTTTTGAGACAGGGCGTCACTAAACTGCTAAACTGTTCCGGCCGGCCTCGAACTTGCAGTCCTCCTGCTTCAGCCTCCCAGCGTGCTGCCTTAGCGATGTGCACCGCCCTGCCCAGCTTCCGACTTTTTGCCTAGCTGTCTGTCTCTTGGTCCTTTCCCAGATGCTGCATCGTCTGTTAGTGGGGTGCACCAATGTGGCCGTGGTAGAACGGTCATCCAGGGACAAGCCTGTGAGTGTCTTCTGTCTTCTCTCCCCTGGGTCAGCTTCCCGTGTGGCCTGTGGCGACCCCTGGAAGGAGAGCGGGGACGTGTCTGACAGTGGCAGCAGCACCACCAGCGGTCACTGGAGTGGCAGCAGCGGCCTCTCCACGCCCTCACCCCCGCACCCGCAGGCCAGCCCCAAATATTTGGGCGATGCCTTCGGCTCTCCCCAAACTGACCATGGCTTTGAGACTGATCCCGACCCTTTCCTGTTGGATGAACCCGCTCCACGCAAGAGGAAGGTATGTGGTTTTTCTTAGGAGACAGGGCCTTGGAGCGTTGCCCAGGCTGGGCTTGGATTTGCAGTCCTCCCTGATCCTTTTTAGCCTCCTCCCAGCCCTGCCTTCTTCCCCACCCTCCTGCATGGGCTTGGGCTTGAGGTGCTGGGGAGGGGGGGTCATACCGCTGTGGCCACCAGGGCCAACGCCCAGGACCCCTGGCCACCCTCTGCTCCCAGAGAACACTGCCCCGTGCCTTCTGTTGAGTCCCCACTGGGTGGTGGGGAGAGGGGCAGGGAGGAGAGCGCACTCCAGCCTCCGCGCTCCTCTCTCCCCTAGAATTCCGTGAAAGTGGTGTACAAGTGCCTGTGGCCCAGCTGTGGCAAAGTCCTGCGCTCCACCGTGGGCATCAAGCGACACGTCAGAGCCCTGCACCTGGGGTAGGTCTGAGCTCGGGCTGCCGTGGAAGGCTCCTTCCCCGCCTTTCCCTGTCCTTCCCTGGCCTGCAGCACAGGGCTGATTTGCTGAGCGAGCCCCAGCTGCGGCAGGGGGCAGGAGGAGGCGAGATGTTTAGGTTGTGGGCAGAAGTGGGGGGTTTGGTCCCATCAGTGACTTCTGTTGTTTCCTGGGTCTCACTGGCCCTGACTCCGTCCGGGCTCGGGCCTGGTTCTGTGCAGAGCTGGCTGCTGCGGCAGGAGACGGTGGCCGCTGTGTGCCAGCCGGTAATCCCCGGGTGGGCATCCTCCCCACCGTTGCTTCCCCCTGCACTGCGGTTTCCGCAGCACGGCCCTGCCGCTGGCAGCCTCTCCCTTCCACGCAGGGACTCTACTTCCCCCTGCTGCGGTTTCCGCAGCACGGCCCTGCCGCTGGCAGCCTCTCCCTTCCACGCAGGGACTCTGTGGACTCCGACCAGTTCAAGCGGGAGGAGGATTTCTACTACACTGAGGTGCAGATGAAGGAAGACCTTGCCGTGGCTACGGCTGGCCCCTCTGCCCCCGGGACCCCCGCTGCCGAGCCAGCCCCCGCCGCCCGAGTGACCAGCCCGTCCCTCGCTGCCCTTCCTCTGCCTCCGCCCAAAGCCCCGTGCTCTGGCTCCAAGCACCCTGTCCTGGAGTCTTCCCTGCCTTCCGCTGCGCTCAGCAAGTCAGCGCCCAGCTCCTTCTGGCACATTCAGGCCGACCATGCCTACCAGGTAGGAGCGTGGGTGCCGTGGGCCAGCCTTGGCAGGCCTGGTCCCGGCCAGCGGGGTCACAGCGCCCTGACCACTCTGACTGAAGGCAGAGCCTTTTGCCCAGAGTGCTGACCTTATTCCAGCGAAGAAGGCAGTGCAGGTCTCCTGAGCTGCTCTGAGTGATCTAGCTGAATCCCTAAGTGACTAGGTTGGTGGATTTGGGCTGGGGAACTGTCATATCGCCGGTGTGGTGGTGCAGGGTTGTAATCCCAGCACTCTTTGAGGCTGAGGCAGGAGGACTGCAAATTCTAGTCTAGCTTGGGCAATTTAGTGAGACCCTGTCTCAAAATAAAAAGGGCTGGCGATGTAGCTCCATCAGGATAGGCTGGGTTCAATCCTCAGCTTAAAAAAAAAAAAAAAAGACGATGGAGTAGTGTAGTTGGGCTTCCTAGGGTAAATCTTAGTTCCTGCAGCTGTGTTCATTAAACAATTCTGTTTTTGTTTGTTTGTTTTTGTGGTACTGGGGATGGAAAACAATTCAGGTTTGAGTGCTGGCTGCATGGCTGACATTGGGCCAAGGAAGCTGCACATAGAAGGACCATAGTCCCTGCCCTTGTGGAGTACAAGGTGTCGCTGGAGAGAGAAATGAGTATATAGCTCGGTTAGTTATAAGAAATGGTCAAAGTGTAGTCTTACAGAGGTGGGACCACAGTAAAGCGTTAGTGCATCTGAGTAAGTGTCACAGGACGGCACTCAGCACGGCCTTCCCTGCATGTAGAAGTTACCTGTGCAGCTTCCTGTGGCTGATTTTAAAACCTTGGCGTGTCTACAGCTTGATTTTGGTTTGGGACTCTGGGCCAGTTTGCAAGTGAGTCATTAAAGAGTAGTGTTTTCAAACAGAAACCCTTCCAGAGGGGCCGAGTTGCCTCCTCAGTGGTCAGTGGCCACTTAGTCCCTCATGGTTTGGCCGACGACCAGCCCTAGCTGACCCCGTTGGGCCTGTGAGCATGGCTGGGATTTTGCAAATAGACCTGAGTGGGCCACCCCCGAGCCCTCAGCCCGCGACGCTGCATGGTGTCTCAGTAGCGCCACCAGGCTTCTTTCGGCGGCCACGTATGGCGTGTTCTCACCCAGAAGCCACTGCGCTGTGAGGACCAAGTCACTAGGAGGGTTGCAGAGTGAGATGGGCGTGGGGCGTGGCTTGGAAGAGCTGGGCGCTCTGAGGTTGTTCCTGCGATGATGGCTCTGGGCATTGGGTACTTTCTGGTCGTCTCACTTAGGCACAGCTGTTTCCCTGCAGAATGTGAACTTACGGGCCCCGGGCAGACTGATGCTTCCCAGGCTGGAGCCCGGCTGATGCTCTGTCCTCTCCACAGGCTCTGCCGTCCTTCCAGATCCCCGTGTCCCCCCACATCTACACCAGCATCAGCTGGGCTGCTGCCCCCGCCACCGCTACCCCGCTCTCTCCGGTGAGTGTGCTCCTTCTCACTTGGGGCCCAGGCACAAGCTGGAGGCTCCCGCATACGTCCCTGGGCTGGAGGGTGTCTCCTTGGCACACAGAATTTGTGAGGATTCCCGTGTGTCCCCAGCCCTGTCTGAGCCGGGAGCGGGTCGCTCACGGAGGAGTTGGGGCAAGTAAGGGCGAGGCTGGGGTCAGTTCCCCGCTCAGCCCTGTGTGTCCCTGGGTGCTCGTTAGAGTCTGGTGCCAAGAGGAGTGGAGGGAGAAGGAAAGAGTGCGGGGCAATTGGAGAGGAAGTGGTTGGGCAGGAGAGAGGAGCCCTGGGCGTCTCTGAGGGCTGAATCACACTTCTCCAGGCCATGTTGGGCTGGCGCCTTAGGGTGCTTGACTCTACTGAAACAAACTGGAAGTTGTTGGAACCACATGTTGTGGGCTCTAGTCTCAAATATGTGTCACAGGGAGTTGTCAGGCACTGCAGAACCTGCTGCCAGAAGGTGCCAGTGCGACACTGTGCTTGCCTCCTTTGTTCCGTGCATCTAATTCACATTCAGAGCAGCCTCGAGGTGGCTGCCCTGCTCCGGCCCCTGCCAGGTGCCCAGTGTGGCTTAGGGTCCGGCCCCGTCCGCAGCAGCCCTGCCCCTAGGCCTGGCCGCCCATACGCCCACTGCCTGGAATGGCCTCCCCCCAGTGTTGGTGCTTGCCCTCGGACCAGCGAGGTGCACAGGGGCTGGCGCGCGTGGGCCACTGTCCTGGAAGGTGCCCTCGAGCTCAAGGCCTGTGCTTACGGCCCTGCTCCTCACCCCCAGGTCCGGAGCCGCTCACTTAGCTTCAGTGAGCCGCAGCAGCCACCGCCTGCTGGGAAATCTCACCTGATTGTTACCTCTCCATCCCGGGCCCAGAGCAGCACCAGGTGAGATGTCTGGGTGGCACTGTCCCTTATGGCTTCTGTCCCCCTTTTCCGCTGGTAGTGTGAGCCTTGGATCTGCCGCAGTACAGTCACCAGGGCCATTCCCCAAGGGCCCGTGGGTGGAGGACGACTGAGGGTGGCTTCTGTCCCCCGAGTGTCTGGTGGCAGGGCCACCCCTAGGAGCCACCCTTCCACCGCTTGCTTGTTTTTCCCGCCCTGTGTTTGGCCACCAGTGTATGACTCCCCCCTCTTCCCTGTCCCTTGGCAGGAAAGCCCGTGGCGAGGCCAAGAAATGCCGCAAAGTGTACGGCATCGAGCACCGGGACCAGTGGTGTACTGCCTGCCGGTGGAAGAAGGCCTGCCAGCGCTTCCTGGACTGAGCCCGCCACCGGCCACCGGCCGCCTGGCGCGGGGGACAGCGAGACGGATGGGGGTCCGGCCACAGCAGATCCCGGGGAGATGCAGGCAGCAGCGTGGAATTCCAGCCCATTCGGCAAAGGTGTAACACTTAAAACACTTTCTCCCCCTTGGGGAACATTTTATTTAAAAAAAAAAGAAATGAAAATATTTTTTCCCCCTAAAATAGGAGAGAGCCAAAACTGACCAAGGGTATTCTGCAGCGAACCAGAGACCAAAGAATTCCCCCCTCCCTCTCCCACGCCCCTGTCCCTGCTCCCCTGGCTGGAGGGGATGAGTTTGCCTCACAGAGGGGACAGCATGGCCGTGAGTCCTGTTCCCTCCGAGGTGGTGAATCCTTTGCTTTCTCGACTGTTCCAGAAAGGACTGTGAGCAAGATGAACTTCCTTAAAAAAAAAAAAGCCGCTTCGCTCCGGAGGGAGGACTGTGGGTGGGTGGGGACAGCAGGTGTCTTGCTTGCCTCTGAGGGACCCCTCTTTCCCATCTGAGCAGCTTCCGGAAGGAAAAGGAGGACCTTCCTGTGGTGACAGCTGTCTGTCCTACGGCTTCTTCTCGAAGCTCAAGCTTACAGATTTGTGAAGACTGTCCACAGCTAGCTGAACCGAAAGGCTGATACGAACTTGCTTTGGAAAAGTGCCATTCGGCAGTTCCTTGAGCGGGTTGTGTCTCCTGGAGGAAGGGAGAGAGGGTCTCGGTGTTGGGGGAGATGCTGCTCGTCCTGTGTCACCCCCCCGGGGTCTCTTCCCTCGTGGCAGGAGGACAGGCCAGAGCACTTTGTCCTTTTGCCCAGTGTGTTCTGAGACTTTCATGTGGGCGGCGCAGGGATTTCCCCAGCTCCTCGCCTTGTGGAAGGCAGGTTAAGGAGGGCCAGAGGGCTTCAGGGGATGTCACTCAGGCTGAGGGCCTCAGGGGGGAGGTGTGGGGTTGAATATCCACTGGCGTTTCGGCCTTGGGAGTTTGTAGAGATCAGGTGTTTAGGGGGGACGGGCGGAGTTGGGGGTCATTGCGCAAAGCTGTTCTTGCTGAGGAGAGAGCCAGGAAGTTTGGTCCTTGTCAACCAGGGCTGCCTCAGAGCCTGAACGAGACCACCCTGGGCTCACTGTGTCTGTGTGTCATCTTCCCTGGGACTGAGCAGTACTGTCCACCTTTGGCTGTTATCTGGACTGTTCTCTCAGTCCCAGGTAAAAACACCAGGCCACCAAGGCTCCAGGGATGATATCACGTGAAAAATGATGCAGGTGTGGTAAAACCTGTACCCCCTCAGCAGAGGGATGTGATTTTGTGAAGGGTGTAGGGGCTGGTTGGTGACAGAAGGATCAGATACGCTTATGCATGAGTGTCTTTGGTGGGAATATATTTTTATAACTTGGGAAAAATGGATGTGGACACCTGTCGCTTGGTGAAGCCTGAAACCAGGCCAACCAGGGGTGGCCCAGGGCTCCTCTTCTGTCCTTCGTGGAGAATTAGGAGCTAGAGACAGGCCATCGTCTCCAGATCTTCCTGGGGAGGGAGCATCTTGCCATCGGGACCCTGCCCTGGCGGCCCCTTCTTCTCTTCCTGTCTGAAGCAGCTTGGACCGTGCAGGTGTAGCTGATGCAAGGATTTCTTCTCCACCTGAGGCAGACTCCTCGTGCCACTGGTGCGCAGGACAGAAAAGGAAGAGTGAAAGAAGGAATTGACGGGACACTCTAACAGTGGAGGGGTTTTGCTTCTGTGCGGCCTTTTCTGTCTGCATTGCTCTGTCCCCCCTGCTCTGTGGTGGTGGCTTCCTCCGTGTTCTTGCCGTCGCGTGGGTTCCTGACGTGTGGTCTGCCCTTGGCTTGGCTCTCTGAGTCCCTTGTCAGAGCTGGGGTAGTTTGTGAGTTGACCCGGTGATCGTGTGCAGTTTTCCACCTGTGTATCTCCCTGCTTCCCCGCCCCTCCCTGGGCATCAGGTGCGATGGGAGGATGATGCCACAGGTGCACCAGGACCCATCTGCGGGGCAGTTATCTTGGGAAACTGTTTATCTGAGGAGTCTGCTGATTAGATGGTTTCTTGGAATTCCTGTCCGAGCAGAGGCTGCCCCTGGGAGGCGAAGTCCACGTCGTGCAGGACAAAGAGAATTGCGCCTGTGGTCAGGGGAAGTCTCAGGTGCAGAGCAAAAGGACGCAGGTAACTTAGTTTGGACTTAATGTGAATTTTAAGCTGGCTGAGCAAGCAGTTTGGTGACTTCAGACAGTGTCGTGAGCTACGGCCATGTCACAGGGAGGATTTCTTGGAGGACGCTATTAATTTAGGTGTGGAAAATCTGATTTGTTGGAAGAAAGATCTGTCCTGTTACTTTCTGGTCACCCAGGTTCTGACTTTGGCAGGGGCAAAAAAAAAAAAAAATTGGTGGGAGCTAAATCCCACCTGTGAATTTGTCTTATTTGGCTTCTTTTCTTTCTCTTCAGCCATTTTCCAAGTATTATTTTTACTGTTAAAAACTTTTTTAAAAATGTGAAATGTAATGTTTTTACACCAACAATATGAATTATATTTTATAAGGAATAAAGTGGTACATTGTCTGACTTAACGTGTGTGTCTACCCCCCCATTTTTTTTTTTTTTTTTGCTTCCAACTTGGGACCTTGTGCTTTTGAGGCAGGCGGCAGAAACCACTGAGCTAAATCCCCGGGGCGCCCCCCGCCATTCTTGCAATGAATAAAATGCTTATTGCCCTCAGTGTTGAGCAGATGGTCACACATTGCACTCTAGATAAGCTGCATACATCCATTTGCTTCTAGTAACAGGAGATGGCACCGGCTAGGGACTAAGCTAAATGCTTACACGGATTACCGATGCAGTGACCTTGGAGGGAGTCATTACTGTTCCCATTTTACAGATGAGGACAGTAAGGCACAGAGGTTGAATAATTTGTCACCAGCTGGGAGAAAACAGTACCAGGATTGTGTCTCAGGCAATGGCTGTTTTCCATTGCTTCTGCTGACAAAGGGCAGCATCTCCTTGACCATGTTGCTGGGTCTGTTGAGGGAGTGGGTTGGGAACATAGGAGAAAAGAGATCAGTCTACATTAGTCAGAATTTTGTTTTATAGCAAAATACCCGAGGCAGGCTAGCTTTGCAAAGAAAAAAGGTGTGTTTAGCCCGGGGTTTTGGAGGCTGAATGTCCAAACAGCATGGCACAGCTGGGGCTCCTTGGCTGTGACACCGCTTGGCAGATGGCTATGCTGAGAGGGGGAGATCACATGGGAAGATGGGATGCCAGAGAGGCTGGGGTCTGTGCCTCCCTCCCTAGGGTGCACGTCCCCTGCCACTCTGAGGTCCCTGTCTCCAACATCAGGTCCCCTTGAGGGACCCACACATCTCCAAGCCTGGGCCTCTAGGCAGAGGAAGGTCCTGAGGGCGGGTCCCGCGCACTGTGGTGGCCCACACATCTGGCACAGCGGGCCTCGGTGCCCCGAGCAGGTCGTGTCCCACCCGGGGAATGGGTTGTACAACTTCGGTTGGCGAACTGAAGAAAAACCGAGTGCAGCACCTGTAGATTCCAAGACCACGTGGAAGAAAGCAGGCTGGGGAAGTTGTGTGTGTGTCTCTAAATGTCCAGTCTGCATAAAATAAGAAGCGGGCCTTCTGTCCTCCGAGAATTCCGGGTGGCGGGTGAGGGCTTTGGGCCCGGGAGCTGACAGATCCTATGCACAGTAAGCCCAAACTCTGAGCTGGAGGAAGGCACCTGGGAGGCTGTTAGTAGCTTTTGGGTCCAGAGTGGCTTTGAGAGCGGATTCTGGGGACCCCTGCTCCTGCTGGAGAGGAGGGGGGCTGCTCTCCGAGAAGATGCAGAGGGTTCATCAGGGGTTGGAAAGCCTGGTGTAGAGCAGCTTTTCCTGCCCACTTCTTTCCGACCCCAAAGGAAGCCCCTCAGGAATCAGCCTGCTCTCACCATCTGCCGAAGCTCCCCAGGTCAGCGCATTCTCTATTTGCAGGGCGTGGTGGGGGGTGCTCCCCAGACCTGCCCTTCTGGCTGTACTCGTGGACCTCTTAGCAGCTCAGCTCAAGTGGGGGTGCCGAACCCCTCAGCTCCCAGGGTCTGTGAATGGCTGCAGTTCTTAGGGGTTCGAGTAACTCCCGGGCTCCCAGCTTCACTTCGGGGCTCTCTGCATTCTCTGCTGCTCTGCAGATCCTTTGCCGTCCTTGGCCATTTAATTCCTAACACCGGGATCCGGGGAGGTGGGGTCCTTGAGAGGTGCTGAGACCCAGGGGCCCTGCCTCCCAGAGGCCGTCAGTGGGAGTGTGTTAGTTATGGAGAGCCTGGGCCTCTGGGGAAAGGAGGAGTCGGGCTCCCGCCCTTGGTCCCGCTGTCCCCTCGGCGAACACAGCATGCACACTGCAGCCCTGTCGTCCTGGACTTCCTAGCACCAGAACCGATAGCTGGATAAACTTGTGACTGTTCCTAATTTGATCTGGAATAAGTTTAATTAAGTCTACGGTACAGTTGACCCTCATTTATGGGTTCTGCATCTACAGAGTCAATCAACTGCAGAGTGAAAATATTTTAAAAAACGGACCAAGAAGTCTTTTCCCCTTGTCATGATTCCCCAAACAACACAGCCTGAGAGTGGGTATGCATAGTATTTCTGTGGTGTTAGGTATTGTAAGCAGAGGTGATTTAAAGTGAACAGGAGCTTCTTCTATGCAGGTTATATGCAAATACCCCTTTTTATAGGGTGACCCAAGCACTGTCCGGTTTGGGTATGCACAGGAGTGCTAGATCCCACCCCCGCCTACCTCTGTAGATATTTGACCCCTCAGTGCCCCTGTCTGGGATCTCTGCATTTTCTGGGTGGGCTCTGACAGCCACCCACCTTCACATGTTTAGTGGAGATAAAAAGCATGTGTCTGGTTTGTCAGGACTCCAAGGGGATTCTTAAAAGGCAAATTTCTACCTTATCAGAGCCTGGCAGTGGGCCCGGCAGCCTGCCACGCCGGGACTTGGATGCACAGAGAGAGGTCTGCACCCACAGACTTCGTCTTTGTCCCCGCTGCCCGTGTGCTCACCCAGTGGAGTGAGCCAACTTCCTGCTCGAGACACACAACACCCTTAGCTCTTGTTCCTTCTCCACCCTGGGCCGCAGAGCCTTCTGCCTCTACCTCCCTGGAGAGACGCCCTGACGTTGTTCGAAGTCTGTGCTTCTCGGTCATACCGCTTAGAAACAGCAAACCAGTTTATTAACCATTTGCTCGGTAGAAGTTTAATGGAGAAAGAGTTGTTTCCAACAACCAGTCAAAGAGAACAGCTCTTTTACAAACAAAGTATGGCAGTGATGAGTCGAAACCCCAGGCTTGATTTCATTTTCCTTTCACCCAGCCCCAGAAGATGGAAGAGGTGGGTGAGAAGGAAAGATGGGGGCATTAAAATGTTAGCTGGAGGAATTACAAAAATACACTCTGATGTAGCAACAGGGTTGAGGGGGATCATGCCAGGGGAGGGGAGACAACCAGACGGGAGGTGCCAGCGGATGACCCCGCAGGGCCAGCAGGCTCTCAGTGTCTCGGAGCGGAAGGAATCCTGATTCCCAGCCGGCAGGTCTGGGGCTGGACACATGCTGTTTTGGGGATCACCAGGACACCTGGGGAGACAGAAATGATTAAATGCAAATTTGATGGTTTTTCTGACCCTACCATTCTTTTCCCTCAAGTGACTGGAGTGATCGGGAGGCCAGGAAAAGCCATCGACCCAAGCAAGATGTCCCTAGGCAGCCAGAGGGGGTCCTTAACGTGTTAGCTCTGCTGTCATGTTAGTTCTGCTTCTCTGAAAGGCGGAGGGACAGGTTTCCTACCTGGCAACAGGTTTCTCTTCCCCGGTGTCGAGAATCCATGCTAATCTGTGTCCTCATTCATGGTTCTCTTAGGGTACACAGTGCTCTTTAAGCCTCAGGTCACTAATACCTGGCCATGGGTGACTCAACTTCCCACTTAGTCTACAAGGGGAGGACAGCGCAAGGTCAGGGAAAGGAAGGCAGTCACCCAGACCAGCTGTATTCTTTTACAGTTCTGTGTAGAGCAGGACCTGTACCCTGTATCTTGCCTCCCTGTGTCACGTTACACTTCCTGGGTGGCACTTTCCCTCACAGCCTCCTCAGCATAGATTGGCAGTGATGTCTTAGAAGTCAAGAGCAGCTTTGATAAGAGGAGGGTGAAGCAGTCACTCATGCAGAGGGCAGAGTGGGATGTGCCTATGTGATGGAACACGCTTCGGCTGCCTGTCACAGGGTTACTCGTACACGTCCATACTGCGATGCAGCCGCTGTGCATGCGTGGAAAAGAGGACTGGAGAGACATTTGCTCAAGGAGAAAGGAGAGCCATCAATAATCACCCAAATGAGCTGGTTAATGTTTCCAGGTGTCCACCAAGAGCTTTGCATCTTGAGCGATACAGCAGACGGAACCTAGTAATCAGCCGCATTTCAGTACCTCTCAGTTGGAAGGATAATAGGAAATCAGAAAAACCAATTGCCTGGATAGGAGCTCAGATCGTTTTTCCCCCCAAGTAAATTGATTCCTGCTAATGGGACTGATTTTAAACTGTTTCTAGGTAAAGAAAATTGTTGTGGCTCAGAATTAGACATGGGCTTTGGGGTCTCTTAAGAGCCACTCTAAAGGAGAATGTCTTTAAGATGTAAAAGAATTTAATCTCTTCAATTTCTGAAAGATTTACAATGAGGTACTGTGCAGATACGGCTTAGGAAGAAATAGAATGACTTCGTGCAGAGTTCAGGACTTAGTCATTCTGCTAAATAAACATGGCAGCCTTCTCCCCACAGCTCCGTACTTGTGCCAGTGTTTGCTGATGGGCAGAGTGCAAAAAGCACCCTACCTGCAGAGAGCACTGAGGGCTGTCTCCCCACGGAGTGTGGCACCGAAGGTCAATGTATAGATGGATAAACCTTGAAGGAAGATCAGTAATGCTACGGCTGTCTTTGATGGATGAGGAGCTGAAGGAGAGAGCATACACAGACATTCTTCTCTTCTGCTTCTGAAAAGGGGAATAGCCCTACTTGGGCAATGTTTTGGGTGATTTTGTTGAACTGAGTAGTTCTTTGCATGGGGCCAAGTTTCTAGACTGTTTAAGGAGCAGGGTGGGACTCTGCACATGACTATATTCCCGTTTTCGGATTAAGGTACCTAGTCATGCTGTCTTGGATTTTTCTTAAAATTTTCAGGAAATTGCACTGTGGTGGTTTCCAGTGCCACCCAAAGTTATATATTCATTGATGGGCAAAGGAGAGTTGAGGTTGAATGATGGAGTAATGAAGGCTTCGGTGTGTGTGTTGGATACGTGTTATATGTACTTGGATAAGCTTGCTTTTAGGGGCAGGAGAACAGCAAAAGAAAGAATAGGGAAGAAAGGAGAGAGAAAGGCAAACAAAAGAACAAAAATAAATGGCACTCTGCAGCGAAGCACACATTGAGGAAAGAAGATGCATCTTTTAGTCCATATTCTAAAAGTTATTAGGGGCCAAATTCTCATGGTCCTGTTCAATGGTGACACCATGAACCACAAGGAATCCATTTTTCTCTGGCAAGGTCCTGGGGTGGACACATGGCTTATGGAAGAAAGAAACATAGCATAACTCTGGGTTCTAAAAAGAGCTCCTTGGTTGGAGGAAATGGGAAAGTTTAATGATTTCCAGGGTGGTTAGTCCTCTTGGGATACAGAGGGAAAGGAGGGGTTAAGCAAGCTACCTTTTGAAGGTGAAACAGTAATCAGCTTCTTTGTGAATGGCGAAGACTAGGTCTAGCCATTGGTTTTTAGAGATGGTCTCTGAGGAAAGGTGAGCTGAATGGTTGCTATGGCAACTGGGTAAGAGAATTGGTCCACTTAACCGTCCCCATAGTAACTAAACTCCCAGAGCGCTATGGTGGAATTAGTTATTTTAACATAGTACTATTATCCCCATGGTAACCGATCTTTAAATGGGAGTGGTCAGGCTTAAGGACCAAGGGTAGGGGAATCTTGGCTCCCTATGGAAAAGGTAGGCAGGAGGCAGGGGCAGGACTGTCTTTCCTAGGCCTCCCAGGAGCTGAAGTGCGTGCGTGCATGCGTGTGTTTGGAGCTGGGAAAAGGCTAAGATGGCTGGGTGTGGGAGGTCTCTCTTTGTCTCCAACTCACTCATGGGTTGCAGTGGCGGTGCAGCTGGGAGGGGCACCCCTTCCGGCTACACATTACCATTCTGGTGCAGGGTGCGTCGGCGCTGGCTTGACTGCATGCTCAGGACCAGGTAGTGCCTCATAAACTCACTGAACCGCTTCTGGTTGGCCAACTTCCGGGCCGACTTCCGGGCTCCGGTGAAGCCCCCAAACCTCTTCTGCAGCTGTTTCTGCTCCACCTCCCCAGCGTCCTCCGTGCCTGGCTCTGTCTCTTCCTGGTCCTGGAACGGGCTCTGGACACGGGGCATTCGCTTCAGATGCTGCATCTCTGAGGCTCTTGGCTGGTAAAGAGCAGCCACCACGTGTTCGGGGTCAGCGGGCCGGAGCTGCCAGGAGCCCCTGGCCAAGATCTTGGTGCACGGAGTCCAGAGGGGGCTGGGGAACACCTTCTCCTCACACTGGAGGATGCACAGCTGCAGAGACACAGGTGGGAGGAAAAGGGACAGGGTCCTCCATGAATCCAAGGGGGAGAAAGGAGCAGGGACTCTGAATCCAAGGCAAGGAAGCAGTCTGTCCTTTATCATTTGTGTCAGTACCGGAAGGGTCATTTCTCAAATGCTGGGTGGCAGTTTTACAGGCTTATGGAATTTCAGAATTGGAAAGAAACAACCCTCTGGCCCAGCTCCATCGTTTTATCAGGAAAGAAACCAGGGCTCAGAGAAGAGGTTGACATACCCCGGATCACACAAAATGAAGCCACCCAAACTCTCCCGTCTCCATCCTGAGCTTGCCCGTCCGCTTGGCCTGCCTGTCTGACTCTCTCTAATGGTACCCCATTCCCAGTGGACGGAGGCTTAAACCCTGAGCGTCTTTTACTGCCTTCCCACCTCCCCACCCTCTCGGTACACGGTCAGCCTCTCCTTTCCATCTCTGCCACTGCCCAAGCACCTCTTTGGGCCAATCGTTCCTCAACCGATCCTTCCATCTCTATCTTGGCCACTTGAATTCACTTTAGGCCCCTGGCAGGATACTCTTCCTGAGGAGTAGCTCTTAACCACACCATCACGTTGCATAAAACGGCCTGCTATTTCTCTTTTCCCTAAAATAGCTCCCGACTTGTGAGCAGACCATGCAGATACCTGTTGCAGCCCACTCTTTATGTCTTATTTCCATTTCCTCTCTCCACACACCCCCCTCACCCTGAGAGGGCTTCTCCTCATGACTTAAAAACCTCTATTCCTTGTCCACTTAATCACTGTTTCCTTCCACCATCCTTTGGGTCCCAGCCATGCTCCACGGCTGCCCCTCATGATATCTTCTTTTAGTTCCCCTCTTACCCATGTTCCCACCAAACATGCTTGCAATAACTTCTATGGAAAAATTTAAGAGGCAGGGACCACATCTTACTCATGTTTGAGTCCCTGTGGGTGTCTTTTGAGTAAGCAGTAGCAATTCGATTATGTCCTATTAAATAGTGGACATTGTAGTACATGGAGAGATTTTGGTTGTGTATTCATCTGCTGAGGCCACCTAGACATCAGGGATGCTAAAAAAAAAAAAAAATCCTTCAGCACACAGAAGAGTTCCTGACAACAAAGAATTATCCAGCCCTAAATGTCTAGTGTGGAAAATCTGAGAAACCCTGGTGTACAATGTCAGTGGGAATGCAAGGAGGTATGGGCACCTCTGAGAAAGCGCACAGAACTGGCATATTTGGAGCCGGCATATTTGGTCCAACTCTCATGGAATAGGAGCCTCCAGATAATTGTTTCCTTGGGTTACAGACATGGGTGAAAAAGTGGAGTCTAGAGGATACTAGGTCTTCTGCATGCCCCTGAATTTCCAAGATCAGACAGATGATAATTAGATTTTGTGTCAGTCCAAGAACATAAAATTTTATGATCAAACCAGATGCCACAGCCTATACCCAGACTCACACACTGTTAGATAAATTAGACACCAAGCAGACCTTCTCAACTCTTGATTTAGGAGAAGGTTTTGAGGCGAATATGAGGAACCCAAAGTCACAACAGCATTTGTAGCAGCAGATGGGCATTTGAGCTTAATGCCTAAGCCTCTGGTCTGGGGGCCTCACCAGCCTCTTCCCAGAGATGTGTTAATGGCCTGTTAAGTGAGCCGGACGCATTTCCGCAGCCCAGGCTGATGACTTTGCTATATTAAACTGAGTTAGCGAGTTAGCATGAGCATCTGCAGTCCCAGACTGGTGCCAAATTGATCTGTGAAGTTGGGCTTGTGAGGAGGCTGAGCGAAGGGCCATTTGGGTGTCTGGATCAAAGATTAGGGTGTGGGGTGCGGCCAGGGTGGGGGATAGAGAACTTGCCCAGTGTGTGCTAGACAGTGGGTTCAGTCAACAGAAAGAAAAGATGAGGGTGCAAAGTGGAGATCAGGCACACGATCCCTTTGGAGAGAAAAGAAAGCCACTGAGATGGTCTAGTTCCTACCAAGAAGGGGTTCAGCCACTTCTGGCCAAGGCATCTTTGGAAGGTTTTTGCTCCAAGAGGGGCAGCTAGGGCATTCGAGGACAGACAGCTGGGGCACCAAGAGAAGCAGCACAGACAAAAGCTTCTGCAAGCCTTTCCTTTCCTGAAGGAAGAAAGTAGTTCCTTTTGCAATAGAGTTGTAGTAAGTTTTCAACATTTTCCCCCAGACTGTTTCTCGGGGGCTAGTGGCTTTATTCTTTGTCTCTAAAGCAACTCAGTGAATCTGGTTTCCCTCTACTTGAATGGACAGAGGAAGAATCAGTACAATTAGGTGAAAGGCCAGGATGTTGCAGTGGGTTTGGGTGTGTGAGTTGTTTGCCAACCAAGATTATACTCTGACAAAAAGCCAGGCATCCACCAGGAGCATAAATAGAAAGATTCTCAATGAAGCCTCAGGTCCAGAGAACCCTGCAATAGCTCAGGATTATATCTGGTGGGGAGACCGGGGAGACATGAGTCCCCCATCATTCACAGCATGGATGCACCCAAATGGACATGCCAGATTTGGAAGTGAGGCATGATTGCTTACATTCTTGGCATTTTGGTACACTTAAAAATAAATAAAAAATGAATACAAAATAGAAACAAAAGCAAGGAGGCGCTTGGTCCTGGGAGCACTATGAAATGTTTATCGCTGATTGTGAGGCCTTTACAGGTCTGTTTTCTGACTTCTTTCAAAGAAGTAAAGCTGCGAGTATTGTCTTGGGCCCCCAAACTTGAGATGTACGGGAGAGCTGGAAATACGCTCTCAAGACACAAATGTAAAATCCCTTCACCGGCTGCAGCGGATGTGCCCGGTAGGAGACTGAAGATCTTGGAAATTTGTTGCATTCTCTTCTTAGGCCTGGAGAAGGTTAGGTTGTATTTGCAGGTCCCTTCGTAAAGAACCCTGGTGTTAAGTTTCATTCTACAAACAAGGGTGATCGAATGTGTGGCGAATGTGTACTTTCAAAAAAGAATGTGTACTTAAAAAATGTATTATAATAAAAGACACATTGCCGTGAATCCTGTCCCTTAGGGTACACTTATTCCATCATCCTCGCCACCTTCTGACGCAGTTCTGCAAGTCCTCTTTGGCACCGTTATGAAGAATGGTGAACAAATAGTGAACGCTGCTGCTCAAGTTTCGGGGCCCATCCCGTCGGAAGGCAGGTTGGTAAAAGTATTACATGCAGTGCGTCCTGGTCCACGCCAGTCTCCAGTCGGACACCGTACAACTCCTGGCTTTTCCCCAAACTCACAATGGCCACGAAAGGTAAGCGTGTCCAACCGACTAAGGACACTGACACGATTAAAGATCAGCACAATTAAATCAGCGCAATGAAAGAAACTCACGCAAGAGGGCTTCCAGAACCACCTCCAAAACTGGCAAGACTGGTGGGGTACGTGTGCTGGAAGCAAGGGTGCTCGGTGGGGACTCGAGGGAGATTCACGGTGACGTCTTTATGGTAGTATGTATTTTTTAAAAGAATGTAAACATTTTTCAGTCCTATCTTGCACATTACTAGCCTTGGGGACGGAGGCAGGTCGGGCACGCAGGCCACACCTCAATCACTTCCAGGTGGGGCAGGGATCTCCCATCACCAGAGCCTCCAGGAGCTCTGCTGCAGCTCTGCTTCCCTTGGCCTGCAGTGGGGACCACCAGCCGGACCTGGCACCTGCCCAGCCCCTCTTGACTGGTCCTGACCTTGGTTACTCCCTCTGGCCTTCTTGTCTCCCCGAAGCCTCTGCCTAAGGTAGTTGAAAGGTGAATCGGCAAAGCCACCTGAAGGGTGGGGAGCCCTATGGTACCTGTACCACAGCCGGTGGTTTCTTTATCACTGAAAGCTCTGAAAGTTCCTCACTCACTGTCTTAGGAGGTGAAAGTGAATTTGGGCTTTGAAGTGAGTAGACTGGAGAGAGGAGTCAGGCGCAGGCCGGAGGGCTGGGCGGGAGGGAGGAGGTGTTTCCTGGGGGCTGTGGAAGGCAACTGGGAATGTGGGAGGTGACTCTGAGGCCAGGAAAGACTGGGTCAGTGGTGTAGCTTTAGGAGTTACCTGCCTGGGGCTGGTGAGGGCTGAGAGAGGGTGAGGTATGGATGGGATCTTGGGGAGAGGGGATGGGGTGGGGAGATGTAACCTCTGTACTGGGGATTATACCTTGAGGCTTTGCGTTGAGCTGTCCCTAGTCCTGCTTTTACTTTTTCTTTTGAGACAGGGTCTTTCCCAGGCTGGGTTTGAGCTTGTGATCCTGCTGCCTCAGCCCCCTGGTGTGCTGGGATTACAGGGAGCACCAGCACACCAGGCTAGAAGTAGGGTCTCTCAAGTTCAGAGGGTAGAGAGAGGACCAGCAGCCAACCTAGAAGGTTGGAAAGAGCAGCCTGAGGGAGGAAGGGGCATGAGAGAGAACAGGGTTCTGGAGCCAGGTCAGGGCGGGTCCTGGGAGGAAAGCCCAGCAGGTGAGAAAGAGAAACGGACGCGGATGGCCTTGGCTGCGTCCTGTGGGCTGCTCTGCCTGCTGCACAGCTGCTATGAGCCGATTGCTGCTACCAGGGGCTGGGAGCTGCCTGGCACGGAACCGAGTTCTCGTGCTGCGTGCATTTGCCTTAAGGAACGGAAGCTGCTTTGGTTGTTTGGAAAGACTGAGGGGTTTGGCCTCTTGGAAGAAGTTTAATTGACTTCAAAAGGAAAAGAATAATTGAATTATGCTGGCTCTAATAGGAGAGGACTAAGTAGACTGAAAGAGAAGGACGTAAAAAAACCCCAGTTTATTTAATGAATAAAAATTTAACACTGGATTTGTACCTCCAGTTGGAAATTAAAATATGAGAGAGCATTTTGGGTACCTGGAGGTTCGTTGCAGGATTACCTGTAATGTAAACAAAGGGAGAACACAACACCTGTGGTCAGCAGGTGGCAATGGCAAAGCAGGTGATGCTGTATGCGCGGAAGAAAGAACTTCAAAGGATGTGGAATAACAACATCCTGGAGACTGCAGCAAGAAGAAGTAGGGTTCTTTCTCTGACTGCTGGGATTGAAGATGCTTTTATTTAATTATTTATGTATTTATTTATTTTTGTGTCTCTGGGGGTTGAACCCAGGGCCGTTGCACTGAGCAATACCCCTGGCCTTCTTTATTTTTAAATCTTGAGACAGAGTTTCACTAATTTGCTAAATTGCCCAGGCTGGGCTCAAACTTGGAGCTCCTCCTCAGCCTCCCAAACTGCTGGGATTACAGTCAGGCACTGCTGCACCCAGCTGAAGAAGCTTTAATTTAATACCAGGAGTGCAGGGTGGGCAGGCCTTTGCTAGTAGGTGGGAGAGTGGAAAGACCCCCGGGTTCTGATCTGAAGATGCAGTTCAAGCCCTCATCTGTCTCCTCCTGGCCGTGAGACCCTGGATAGGAGTCCCACGGGAGAGGATGGAGTTTCTTGCCCAGGGTCTGGTTTGGAGCAGGAGGGAGGAGGACCTACCTCCAGGTTGAAGCTGTCCGGAGCTGGGCGGAGCTTCTCCCGGCAGGTGAGGCAGTCCCTAGGACAACTGCCGGAGACACTGGAGAGGAGGCTGAGCAGCAGGAGGTCATAGAGCAGGATTTTCATGGTGCAGGGGCAGGGAGCAAGGTGCTGAAACACAGGGGAGCATGCGTGGTAATTAGTCCAGCCGTTTTGGGGGATATAGGACCCCCCAGGTGTGAGGTCACCTCCTGTAAGGGAGCAGATCCTCAGGTGCAAGTGTCCCAGTCCTGTCCCCAAGACTAAGTTCACCCACGGACTGGGACCTAGGTGCCTGGGGAGGGCGCTTTGGTTCCTGCCACTCCACCAGCCTCACCACCGCTCTGAGAGCATCTGTGGGCTGGCAGAGGCAGCTTTCCAGGAGCTCAGATGTCACTTTGCAGATGCCCAGTGTGTGACGTTAAGTCAACCTCTCCAAACTTCAATTTCCATTGCTATAAAAGGGGACGGTGGCACCTGCCTTGTCATAGTTGTGTTATGGAGATGACATCAGATCTGCAAGGGGGTTTTGCAGAGTTCTGTGTGCGAGTGCATTGAGGAAAATCTGAGATTTATGAATGACTCAGGGCCTTCCTCTTATGCTCCCCAGCCTGCCCTGGCCCTGCCAGGCAGCACAAGTCCCCAGGGTCTGTGCTGTGGTCTGTGTGATCATGTCTTTCCAAATCCACATGTTGAAATCCTAAACCCCTTGATGACAGGACCAGGAGGTGGGGTCTTGGGGAGGGGGTCAGATAGGAGGGATGAATGCTTTTATCAAAGAGATTCATGAGTGCTAGAGATCTCTAGCCATCGTGTGAGAACGCAGGAAGAAGCTCGCATCTGTGAAAAGGGGCATGGGTCCCCAAGCCAGTGAATCTGCTGGCATCTTGATCGTGGATTTTCCAGTCTGCAGAACTGTGAGCAATACATTGCTGTTGTTTATGAGACATCTGGTCTAGGGTGTTTAGTTATAGCAGTCCAAAAGAGCAAGACAGTTGGTTTCCTGGGCACAGGGCCATGATATTCACCTGGCCACCTCGTGTCGAGCACAGGACCTGGCTTGTGCTTGGAATTATTTGTAGAAAAAGGAATAAAGGAAATATTCTAAGATAATAGCACCGATGATCACTTAGACCAGTAGTTTTTGTATGCAGGATTGTCTGAAAAGTGGGTGTAGTTTCTTTTGTTCCTCTTCAAAATTTCTCCTTAGATCAAGCTTCTTGAATTGAATTGATTTCTTCAGACTGGGTCATTCTGGACCCCTGCTGAACCACCTTTATTTGGAAGATTAAATGGACAAGGGGACAAGGAATTTTTTGGAAATAGGAACATTCTCAGCAGAGGTCACAGGGAGCGTATGCATTTGTCCAGTCCCATTAAATCATATATTTAAATTATATGCCTCTCAATGTATGTAACATTTCCCTTAATAAAGAGTTCAGCCCAGAAAACTGAAAAACAATGGCCTTGTTGCCTTTTCATCAGCCTACCCTGAGAAAATGCATGGGGACGTGCTACCCAAGTGTAGTTGTTGCTGGGCTCCTGGGAGAAATGCAGAATCTCAGCCCCACTCCCAAGCCATTGAATCAAGACTCGTGTATGCAGCAGGATTCGGAGGTGATTTGTATGCAAAACAGAATGTGAGAGGTGTGGGTGTGCCAAGTGTGTGAAATGGAGCTGGTCCACAGGAGAGGGGAGCGGACCTGCAGCCAAGGCCACCAACTGCCACATTGGGAAACCATTCGGCTCTTCTTTTGCAGTGTGATTTCAGACCATGAGGACAGTGACTACGAGGGTGTCAGTAAATGGTAAGTTCATGGGTTGACACTGCAGATGGGTGTCAGAAATGAGTACGAGTTTGCTTAGAGGCACTGACCCAGAGGCTGAGGCAGCAGCACTTTCAAAGGCACCAGGAAGTCGGATTGTAACCGGTCAGGGTCTGGTGAGTGGGCTGGTGAGCAGGCTGGTGATGCCTCTCGGGTCACCTGCCCCACCTGCCAAGGCCAGCACCTGCTGAAAGGGGCTGGGTCCAGATGGAGCAGTCTTGTTTACCCTCCTGGAGGGGCTGCCCTTTATCCTTCCGCTATGGGGTGTCTCAAGCGAACAAATAATGAACACCAACGAATGTATCTCAGATGCAATTTCTCCATCTTTATCCCAAGGGCCAGAGCCTTAGTTGAGATTTATTGCCTTGTTATTGTAATAGCCTCCCAATTAGCCCACCTAATGATCTGGCTTTCCCCCAAACCATCTGCAAATTTGATGATGTCACTTCCTACCTAATTCTATAACACCCGAGGCTACCAGGAGGAGTTCTAAGGACTGGCTGTTGCTTTACCTCTCTCACACACTCTGGTGTCACTTCTAGTCCTAGGAAATACCGCTCCCAGCCACATCAGACTCCTAATGTCTTTGTAGCTTGGGACTGGCTGCTCCCTCCTGGGACAACGTACTCCAACTCATGCTTCATGCACACACCAAGAACCATCACCTGGGGCTGGGGATTTAGCTCAGTGTTTCCACCACCTGCCTTGCAAGCTCAAGGACCTGAGTTTGATCCCCGGTACCAAAAAAAAAAAAAAAAAAAAAAAACACACCAGA